CTCTCTGCCGACCCACGCAGCGCAGAGACCCAGTAATTCGCTTATTGTCTCCACAGCGGGGACTTTTTTTCTCTCTCTGCCTCTCTCTGTCTCTCTCCTTTCCTCTCGATGTGGGTCACTGGGCGCTAGGGCGCGCGCGGGGGGCGCTCGTGTGACGACCTTTGATCCGTTATACGAGGTCATATCAGCACGCTTTGCACCTCGTTCTCGTTCTTCTTATTTCTGATCTCACACCTTTCGCCAAAAAAAATAAAGAAAAGAAAACAGCGCTAGGTGGAAACTGATATTGCCGAGATGTTCTAGGAAATTCTAGTTCTGATCATGGTCGGAAAACTGCATTTTTATCATCGATTTTTATGCCTTAAAACTCCTTCAAGTCTTGCAGTTCAAATACTTGACATCTCGTAGTACAGTTTGATTTGAAAGAGCGCTCCCGCGCGTGGGCCACGGCCCACAACTCCTCTTGCCTAATTATATTTCGGATCGGATAGGCATGTCAGGCAGTCGCGGACGCCCCGCGAGCAGTATATGAACGGCTGTCAGAACGCCCCAAACGCGCGCGGGAACTTTTAGCTAAACGTTTTGAACGCTTATGTGTTCCCTCTGCGCCGCCCGCCGCCGCCCGCAGACTCGCGATCAGATCGCACGACTCGACCTATGGAGGGACAAAAGAAGGACACTGACAGGGCGTCGAGGAGGAAGCGACGAGGGAAACGTCCGGTCGATAGGCGCCGCGGTCGATGAGGCCGTGTAAAAGCCGTAAAGACAACTATGGCCGCTAGTACATTTTTGTTAATTAGCGCGCACACACACACACACACACACACTGTGAAAAAAGTAGGTAGGTTTACAGGAAAATTTTCGTATGCCCCCGCAGTTGTAAAATTACAATTTGTAATCGTAAAAATACATGAAGTATGAAACGACTTCAAATCCATTGGCGAGTAAATAATTGCATTGTATTCATTGTGACGTAAAATTTTCCGCCAACTTTTACACGCGCAGTTAGTTTTTGCGCCCATTTGCAACCATCGGAAAATTCTCAAAAGGACTTCGGCAAAGTTGTATAATTCACGAATACTTCTTCGTCTAATCGCAGGGATTTTTTTTAAATGAAGATAAACAGTGTTACTCGGCGGTGACATACAATTTTCATTTGGCTGGAGTGAATATCTGACTCTGAGGGGAAAAAGGAGAAAGAGGCACACCACAAAAGCAGCAGCAGCAGCGGCCGTGGGCTTTCCTTTCCGAGGACGTCCAAAAGCTGCATTTATGAATGGAAGGGGACGTCGGAGTTGTAGAGTCCGGTGGCGTCGCGTCGGGTCGAAGGAGCAGAGGAGGAGGAGGAGGGGGGAGTTCAGATAGTGCTCCGCATCAAGGACTCTGGACAATGCTGTCCCCTGGTGTGTGACGTTCATTTATTTTCCCTCTCTCCCTCTCTGTCTGTCTGTCTCTCTCTCCCTCTCTCTCTCTCTCTCTCTCTCTCTCTCTCTCTCTCCACGTTCCGCCCCTGCCGCGGGACACCCTTGGGCATGCGCAGAGAAAGCATACGAACGTATGGAGGCTACTACCGCGCCCACGCGCTCGTTGTCGCCAGGCCTTCAAGGGGTTCAACCGTGCCCACTGGCAAAAATTATCCTCGTATGAATTTTTTAACAACACTTGTTTTAATTTTTATTTACTGAAACACTGTGAAAATATCGTCGTAAGTTTACAAAAAAAATTGTAAACTCGAATTATAATTTAAGTTGTAAATTTACGACAGCACATTTTATACTGGCCAAGGGATTTTAAGTCGATACATACTGCATGTATTTTAACGATTACAAATTGTAATTTTACAACTTGCGTCAAGGAAAATTTTCCTGTAAACATACCTGCTTTTTTCACAGTGGAATGATGGGTGCGGTATGGGCAACTGATGGGTCCCTCACAGCGGCAACAAACTATCTTCATGTAACAAACGAGGTAACAAAGATACACCCAGAAAAATCGTGTCTTGTTTCAAGTAAATTTTTCCTTGTTTCAAGTGCACGCTGACACAAGATCAAATTAACACGCTTGAAAGAAGCTTATGTTTTCCTTCAAATAAGAGCAAAATCTTATTCCGTAGACAATAGTGGCCTTGGTTCAATGGTGAATTTCATCTTGTGTCAGCTTGCACTTGAATGCGGTGCATCTCTATCGTACTGCTACAGACAACATTAGAAAACCAAGTATGTGCCAATGAATTTCACAAACTGAAACGAAGGGTGATGGGTGCTGTTCCCATTGGAGTCCTACCTTGACAATGCAGTGTATTAAAAAAGTAGTGTATTTTCTGTGGCACTCGGAGATTTTCGAAGTATTTAAAATTTGCCATTTTTTTATTTTAACGTTTTTAGTCGTACCATTATTAGGATATTTGCAGGAGAAGAACGATATGTTTATTTTTTCCCGGCTGACGATTCATGTGCTGTAACAGTTGGTCCTATTCCCATGAATGTTTTTAAAATCAGAATTTACCCAGTGACGTAGGCTGCTTTTCCTAGTTGAATTTGAGAAGCATAGCCGCTGAGACGTCCGCTCTAGATTTCGACACGTTTTCCGTGGGTGCGCCCGGGCGGCCCCAAGCAAGGCGGGCATGCTGCAGGGAGTGGCTTCGTCTGCATGCGTTGCACTCCTGCCCCTGATCTCCTGACCCGAGCCATTGTTTCAATTCTTTTCGGCTCGACGCTCGACGAGAACGGAAGGATCATGTTATTATTATTTCCCTTTTTGTTTTTTAAACACGTATGGGACGCTTGGGTCATTGCGTTTGGAGTGGCTATGTGTGGATTTTTAGTTGAAAGTCGACTCGGGGTAATCAGATGTAAAGACCCCGCTTTAATTCAATAAAATTCCATTGAACAATTTGAATCCATCACATCCGAGGAGATTTTCAATGGGAACTGCTTTGAAGTGAATAAGATCTCAATTTCGATAAAACGAATCAATATTCGTTAACATTTTTCCTTCAATTTTTTTTCAATCGAGTTCCCATTAATTCTGAGGGTGGCCTCGGCCTGCTGCTCCATATCAGAGGTCTGAGTAGCAGAAGGATGAGGTTATCCAGAGCTAAGATAAGGAATTGAAGGTCCCAAAACGGTGTGAGCGTGGCGGAGGCGTGGACAAAGATCTTTTATTCTGAGCTATACGCACTACGATAACTTCTTTTCTTTAGGGTAGAAGCCCTCTAGAAAGTTTAGAAAAATTTCAGGAAAATTTCGGGGAAAATCAGAAAATTTTCGAGAAAAAAAAGGAAGTTTTCAGTGTTTTTTTCGGGAATTTTTAGCAAATTTTCCGAAATTTTAGGGGGGGAATTTTCAACCCTACTGCTTTTCCTTTTTTAGTCGACAGGCGGCAAGTTAGTTCCCGCCTCTCACGCCAAACACACACACACACAACCGCTCAAACAACAACCCATACTCTTCCATAGGAGCGGCCCGATATACCATGTGGCTTATCGACCGAATCCTTTATAGCGAACAACATCATGATGATTGTTTCGTTTCGTGCGCGAGCATCAGCTGCGGTATGCTGCACCGCTTCCTATAAGGACACAGGTGTTGTGTGTGTGTGTGTGTGTGTGTGTGTGTGTGTGTGAGTGTGCGTGATGTCCCGCATCTCGTTGTGCAACTTTTCCCCGTCATAATATTTATGACGTGAGGCCTCCCCGTGCTCGGGAGCGTATCGTTGGGCGAGCTGGGGCGGGGCGGGCGCATCTGCAGGAAGCACGTGTTGAGAGCGCGGCGAAAATGAAGTGGCGCTATCTCCCTGAATGTCGAAGAATGTTGTTTACTTGAAAAAATGCAGGAGTCGCGCGCGTGCGCGCGTTACTCTCGGAGGGAGCGCCACATCCAATATTGCCGTATCTCATGGGAAGAGCGACGACGCTTGCTCTCGCTTCGTTCTATAGTCTTGAGTGAATGATTTTGTGAGAAATTTGCTTTATATATTTGAATGACGACCATCGCTCAAAACGAGCGAGCGATGGTCCAAAATCACCACTCACAAAGGATTAATGTTCCCATACACTGTAAAAAATACTTGTTGAAAATCGAACATTGCTGTTTTGCAACAACTTTTCTTGTTCCCAAAAAATGGAAAAATTTGCTGCTGTTGATCCTAGATGTTATTTTTTACGTCTTATCGTATGAGGAAGTTGCCCGATAAGAGGAACAAAAAGAAGGTAGCGCTGAGGAGGTGGCGTGGCGTAGCGCCGTCCCGAAACAAAGCAGAACGCGGGCGACCATACTTTGTTTTGTCGCGAGTGGATGCATCCACATGTGTGATCATAAATCAAGTTTTGTTGAATTTCTAAAGAAAAATTGGATCCATAATAGACCGGCGTAACAATCAAGTGTCAAAAAGTGCTTCTGTAAAGTTTGGCTTCGGAAAAGTAATTTTATACAATCTTCTAAACCGTCCCGGTGTCGTTGTTAGGTTAGTGTACGGACATATTGCATTGGTAGAATTTCAACTCAATGATAATGACTCAACTGTCGTAAAAAGCTTTGGTATAGGTGGTACCAAGGTGCTGGGTGCATAGGCCCCTTCTAAACTGTTTGAAATCTAACGACACGCATCCTAACCTCTGCTAGACGGTCGCTCTTCTGCTTTGTTTAGGGACGGCGCTACGCCACGCCACCTCCTCAGTGCTACCTTCTTCTTGTTCCTCTTATCGGGCAACTTCCTCATAGTTACTATAATGCTAATGGTTTCTATTGTTGCTTAAGATTTTACATTGCTTATGAGCGTAGGGTGGCGTTTAAGCCTACTCGGCGGAGACCTTCACGCACGGTGCCACTGGAGCTCCGACAGTCTAACTGTAAGCAGGGCCTAACTGCCCCCCCCCCCCCCACACACAGAGTGAACCTCGGAACCACTAGGAGGAAGCGCGTGAGAGCATGCGCAAAAAAAAAAATAAAAACAAATAACTAAAAAATAAGTAATTTTTTGACGTCGTTTGTCTGTCTCCGCAGGTCTGGTGCTCTTCGTCGCTGTCACGGCCGTATGCGGCACCCAGGAGGGCCTTCCCGTGGACGGCCAGGGACAGCAAGGTGAGAGCGACGCCGGCGGCGACGCACTTCTCAGTCAAAAGAACTCCTACACTGACAGAGTGGCAAAGTGACGACCGACGACCGCGGTCGCGGGGTGCTTAGTGTCCACTGTGTTTATCTGGTTTATCATGCGGTTTCAAAATGTTTCGCGTTTTTAAATATTGTTTTTAATGGGTTTTTTCACTAATGGAGAACCGTAACTGCAATTTGGAAAATCTAGTCGCGTCGTTGTTTTGTTCTCACAGTTTTCTGCTTTCTTTTTTTACTTTGAAAAACGAATGGAACTGACTGTGCCTGCGATTTTTTTTTGGGAGTAAGCAGAGCAGCAGGTGTTCTGTTCAGTGGGACACCGACCGACACACTCGGCTCGGCGACGGGGATGGCCTGTTGGAGTGGGACACATGTCTCGCCCCCCTGGCGTTTGCCGGCGCGACAAAAAGCACCTCAAGCACCTCAAGTAGAGCTCGTAAAACGTTAAAACTCGACGGGTACCCGACAGTGGGGAGAGGAGAAGACTTGGGAGAAGAACGTTACGGGGCATCGGCAAAGCGAGTGTTGTTGTTGTTCTCGCTCCCAAAGGCGGACAGGTGTGGGAGGAGCGGGCGAGGGGGGAGGTAGGAGGGGGAGGGAGGCGTGAGTCAGGCGAGCTTTGGTGGGTCTTTGTGGTAGGATGCCAGTGAAAGTAA